ATGAAGATGTTTAGTCATGACTGAACAAAAATATCTCCTTTGTTATCGTGTATATATATTGCATCTGATTATATATCTTTTTCAAATTTATAAAAAAAAAAATATGCGAAAATACTAAACTTATACAAAATTCGTCTTGAATCACTCCAATCTACAAATTAATCGAGAAAATAAGGAAAATTAGATATTTTTATAAGAATTTAATTGACAACACATCATTACTCCAATTATAATCACGATTAAGTCAAACTTTATTAATTTAATGAAATACATTTGACACTTTCTTGTTAAAAAATTGTAGTAGATAATTTATGGATATGGTTTGTCTTTCGAAATATATGGATATCGTTACTTATTACTACCTACTATTAAGTGAAAGATTCAATATATGCATAAAATAAAATGGTGAAAGATTACTTATATCCAATATTTACATTAAATTATACTATATTTATTTTAATCAAATGCAATAAGATTAGAATGTGCCATAATTAATTGCTCTTTCCGTCTCGAAATATTTTTCGTCTTTTTTAAAAATGTGTCATTTTAAAAGTTTAATATAAAAATTGTTTTTTCTTTAATTTTACCTTTAATTGTTTTATTGTTCTTGAATAATATAAATATCTCAATTACTTCACTCATAATACATAAAATACTAAATAATGTATATATATCATGTATTCATTACTTTAAATATTTTTTTATCAAATAAAAAAATAATATATATATCAAGTCAATATATACATGCTCTGTATTTAAATTTATAGTTTATATACATTTTACATTAACTTAATATAAACAACCGGTGAGGATAAATTTTTCCATTTTCAACCATGTTACAATGAACCTTAACTTTATTTTCTTATAATAAATACATAAAAGTCAAGTCAAACGTTAATATTTATTTAAAGGAAGAAAATGAGAGACATCAAAATATATGAAGATAAGAGATTCCATCATATATATAGAACAGCACTACTGCATATAAGTTGGACCACTTTATCCTTACCAAATTAAAAATAAATAAAAATACTTGGACCACTTTTTGATTTATTAATTCATTTTATCACTATCTAAAATATTTATAAATCAAAATAAGTCAAAAAGTCATAAATTATAATTTTATCTTTAATATATTTTCTAATCTCTGAAATACTCTTCCTAAAACATACTAACTCCTAATTATTCTTTTTATGCATAAATAAATACTGTTTTTGTCTCTATTTACTTGTCCATATTTCTTCTTTTAGATGTCTCTATTTACTTGTCCATTTTGATAAATCAAGAAATGACAAAAAAAAAAAATTCTATTATACTCTCATTTAAACTTCTTCAAAATTTCTAAGTTTTAGTTCATCCTTTTTGAAATCATATTAATAAGGATAGTGACCTTTTCGAAAGATTATGACTTTTCCAAATGCTTGTGATATTTTCGGTAAGGCACAATAAAAACTTTTTTCACACTATTCTTTGTTTTCTATAAATTGAGGAATTTCCTCACATTTTATGAGCATAATTTTTCTAGACTTGTTGTACTACTACTAAATCTAGTATTCAAAGTGTACTTTATTGACGTTGCGTGGTTCGCTGACATAGTGATTTTAGATATCGATACACCGGTGAGTAAGATTGTTCTATCTATCCTTGGAGAATATATTCCGTTAACCTCGAATACTTGAGGGGAATAATTTCTTTAAGGGGACATTGTGCATTCAGTGAACTCGATTTTCTTTCTTTGAGAAAAAGATTTTTATATTGTTCCTAATCAGTTTCTCATTCTATTTGCTCTGTTAGTCTTAATTTTCTATTACTCTTTAAACATTGTTGTTTGTTACCAAATTTTTCAAAATTTTGTTCTAAGTATCTTAGAAGTATAAGATGAACAACAAAACCCAAATGAGCTCTAATTATAATCATTCATCCTTAAGTAGGTTTTAATTAATCTCATAAAAAGTTTATTCTCAGTATCTTATGGTATAAAGTCAAGCCAACAAAATTGAAGAATGGACGTAGCAAAGTCACAAGTCACATCCATCCAATAGAGGAATGTATCACAGCAGAGTCAAAATCACAATTAGCGTCAGAATAGAGTTAATCCGGATAAAAGGAAGACTTCAATCACCTTCTTCTCAACTCCCCATACCCGAACGTCAGGGTGAGGGGTGAATCTTCTGTCTGATTCGATCTCAACTATGATATATTGCTGCAGGATGTTGTGAGAGTTTTACCATAATTGTGTAGCACAAAAGGACTTAATTTCATGTTGGTGTAAAGCATCGTTGGAATGCCGAGAGACCGTCGGAGATTTTGCAGAAATTGGCATTGATCAATTCCTAAGAATATGTTGGAGATTGTTGCAATTCCGACTGTTTCTGCTGCCGGGAAGAGTTTCCTGTTTCATCTTTCTGTTCTGCTCCGAACAATTGATCGGTCAATGATGGTGTAGCCCCGTCGCCGTCGCTGTAAATCGCCGGTTTATCCATAGTATTCACTGTAGTAGTGGAGAGTGAGAAAAATTGACAATAGAAAAAAAAATTAAAAAATCAAAGCCCTAACGGAGAGAATGTACGACCTGTTAGTATTATATTTTCGGACTAAATATATTTTTCTTATTAAATTTTAATATAATTTTTAGATAAAAATATTAATTAGCATCCAATAAATTTATATTTACGATTATAATTTATAACAGAAAGTCTAATTACGAGACTATGTAAATTTTTAATTTGTAAACAAATTTGTCAGTCATGCTTCAATATAATGAGAGAGAGATACATTTCATTTAAAAATATATCAGTTTCTTTTCTATTATATAGAAGAGCTAAGTTGAGGACGACTAAGGATAAATTTATCAATTTATAAAAATTCTAGAATGTTGGTTTCTGTATTATGATATCAAAAAAGTGATAATAGATTTGTAATGACCAACCAATCAAATATGTTTTTCTAAATGTCATATTTATCTTAATGACGTGACATCTAATATGAACACACATTTTCAATTACACTTTTTCTTAAATTTTTTCGAATATAGACTAATAATTAGTCTATTTTAATGAAATGTTACACTTCTTATAGATTTATTTTTTATATAGTAATAAAATTTTCATTAAATCAAAAATATCTATTAACCAAATGTAGGATAAATTTTTGTTTTTACAACATACTAATGATTTTTATAAATCTAAAGGTAATTCAAAATTACTGATTTGTCAAGACCTAGAAAATTGATTTACGTGATTTTCTTCTAAAAAAATTATATTAATATATTACAACTAATATGGTTAATTGACGTGATAACTTATTTTAAGTAATATTCCTCTATATTATAAAATAAAGAACTACTTTCCATGAAGACATATAAAAATCTTCATACCAATTCATAAAACATCAAATTTGTAAATTTTCATAATAAAATAAATTACATATTAAAATAAGTAAATTAATTTATAGTATGAAATTTCTTTGCATTAATATGTATATGACATAAACATATTTTGATATATAATTTGTGATTCATTTTTTATAAATAATTTTCAACTATAAATAAATTATCTCTTATAATTTTCATGTTGTTTCATTATGACAATTAACATATGACATATTCTAACGAGTGGCAATTAACTCATAATGACTTTCATATAATAGTGAGCTGCACTTTTTAATTTTGATTTTACTTCTTATGATAAGATAGTGTCATTCGTCGAGGGCAAGGAGCGCATCAAATATTAGATTATAAATGCTTTATAACTTTAAAATAAATGTTTTCTCAATTGATATCAATACTTGAATTTCAAAAAAGTTAAGTTATTTTATTATCTTGTTTTATTACAATTTTGATATTATCGACAAAATATTGTTAAAAAAAATTACTATAAAAATAATTGTGAAAAAAACTTTAGTATTTTCATTTTAAATTTTGTTAAAAGGCAAAATAGTTACAAAAACTTAAATTTCATAAATATAAAATTGATCTAAAGTTTGTAGTCAGTTAGTTCATTTTGATTTATGTAATGTTTATTTGACTTTAACATGAAGTATTTTCTTTTTTTTAAAAAAAAACACTTTTTGTTGTAGTTTAAAACTAGCCATAGATGTTCATATGATTTTAAATCATCTTACTAAGAATAAAATGAATATTTTTGAAGTCAAAATGTTATTAAATATATTGATACGTTATTCTTTTGAAATTGACTGCACAGAAAAATATACCACATAAATTTTCATAGTGTTAAAAGTTAATTACATTGTATCTCCACTCTTTTTTAAATTACAAAAAGTTCATATATTCATCAACAGAAATGCAAAAACATCGGTCGCGATATTATTCAGAAAACTTGCAGAAACATATCTCGTGGATGAATCAGAGAGAGAAGAAATGTATTCGAGAGGGAATATAGGTGTATCTGAAAGGAGAGAGATGTATCCAAGAGAGGATAGAGATATATTAAAGAGGGGATGAAGATGCCGAGAGAGAATATAGATGTATCCGAGAGGAGATATTGATGTACACAGAGGATAAGAACGTAGCTGAGAGAATTTTTGTAATTTTTTTAAATGGTAGAAAATTTTAAAAAATATAATAAAATAAGATATGAATTTAGATAAAAATTTTAAATTAAAATTGAAAAGATAATTAATTATATTAAGCACGTGAACGGGCCTTCAATTATCTAGTATAGTAAAATATTTTAATAAAAATATACTTAAATTATCAAAATCAAACATAAATTTATGCTAAAAGGTTAATTCGACTTAAAAATGTAACGAAGATGTATGTTTAACTCACATTTCACTGATTTTTCATCAGATAGGTAAGATATTGCAATTTATAATACTTTTAATATTTATTTAATTATTAAATCAATATAATTTCATTTCATTTTAAAAATTAGTCAAATTAAATATGATAATATTATTTATCAAATTATTTTTTAAAATAATTTAATAAAATAATAAACGTAACAAAGTACATAGTATAATTTAACGGGAGGGAGGAGTTCTATTTTTCTGTGAACTCCGCTAATCATTCTTCTTTTCAAATTACTACATTCGGAGGGAGAAAAAAGCCCTAAACTTTGGTCTGGAGAGGTCGAAAATGGTGGATGGGTCGAATAACGTGGATGTAGAGAAGCTGATCTCCTTCAGTAAGGATCTTGTTCAGTTTTTGAAAGAAGATAAAGATGTCAGCTTCTTGAATCAGTGTAAAGAGCAATTTAATGCCCTTCAATCACACTGCCAATCTGAGTACCAGGCTCTTCAGAATTCCATTCAAGGTGGGGTTCTTGTATTTCGTTTTTAATTTTGTAAAATTGAGGGTTTGTTGAATTTCTTAGTGGCTTAAAGTTTGAATCTTTCTCAGTTGGAGATCTCCCCAATCCTCAGAGTCATAAGACTATGTGATAAAGAATAAGTTAGCTTCAAGATTGAACCTTTGGAATTGTGTGTATAATGTTCTTACTGTTGAATTTTGATATTTTTGTTTTGGAAATGGTAGGATGGTTACTAAGTGAACCTCTTTCTGTGTTTACTTGAAGCATTTGGCCATGAAAATTGTGAGTATTTGAAAATTGGAGTTGGGTTTGGCCATGAATACAAATTCTGGGTTGTTTCTGAATTTTTATGATTGATTTGGAGTGAAGAAAGTTTTTGGTGTTTTTCAAATTCTTGAAAATGCAAGTTGAATTTTATGGCCAAATGCTCCCTTAGCTAATGGATTATCCCAAGAGACAACCTACTGGTCAGGAGGTTACAATTTAAGCTGCAGATCTCGGTGGTGTCACTCATACTAGCTTAGTAGTGCCTGACTGGACCTTCCCTACTTCCTATGAACAATGTGAGAGAGAAAAAACATTGGCTTAAAGATTGCAACTTTTAATCTGATATAGACTGAGTTTACAATGTGCTTTGCTGTTTAATGCAGTTTCTTTACTCCTCGTAGCACTTCTGCTTTATAGATACTTCTTTACACTTGAAACCTTGCTTTTTAGTGATATCTTTTTTGGATGTTTCATTCAGTAACATTCCTTTAATGAAAGAGAAAAATGGGGGTTGAATCAACTTCTTATTAGTTTAATTAGTTTAAAGATTGAACCCAAGGGACATCTGCCTTGAGGCTGTAAGTTGAACCACAGTGCATAGTTCAAACCTCAGGGTCACCACGACGCAATAGGATCTTCCTGGATCCTTAAAAACTATGTAGTGAAAAAAAAACTCGGCGTAAGATTGGAATTTTGAATCAATGTAGACAAACTTTACAATGTTCTTGCATCTGGATGATTCTTTTTCTTAGTACCAATTATTAGTGGATAAGTCTCTTAACGTTGACCTGAAACACCATTTTCTGTTTGCTAGCTTACTGGAGTGTCAGGTCAAAATTTCTTCTTGCAAAATATCGTCATTTCTGGATGTTTCTTTTATTAGTAACATTTTGGGGAGTGTGGAGTCTCTGTCTCTGTCTTTTATACCTTCATGAGTACTACTGCTGGAATCTGGATCCTCTCACGCCAACCCTCATGAGATTTTTTTGGAATGTACTATATATAGTGTAAAAATTGGTGCTATTACCTACTTATTCCTGATAGTTTTGGTGATATTTCTACTTTTGGTGCAGTTTGTTTCCGAGTTGAAGTCCTTTTAGCCAATTATAATGCAAAAATATGTAGAGGCCCAGTACGTGTGTCTAGTTTAATGATTAGCTCAACAGACCACTACTTTGGTTCCTTTCGAGGGCCCAACCCTGCTCCTATGATTTCTCTCTGGCCTCAGACATACATGTTGTTTTTCTTATTAAATAAGTTGGAAATTGGAATTATGTTGGTATTAAGTGTCTTTGTTCAAGCATTAATTTATGATTGTACTGGGAGATGTTCGGATTTGTGAATTTGAAAGTATTAAATGACTAATTTCAAGTCATTGCATACACTCAGATTATCAAGGAAAGATAAATGCATGTAAGCAGAGAACAACAGAAGCACAATCTGAAGCTGCTGCAGAGGCTGAAATAGATAAGCTGCAGAAAGAGTTAGAACAGGAGATCCAGAGAGAACAACTGCTTAGAGAAGAACTTAGATAAGTATATTAAACAACGTTAGATGCATGAATTTGTATTTCTCAGATAATTTAGTGTTATGCTTACTGATTGACACCTTTTTTAAACACAGTTATAACCGATGAGATCAATGATTTAGATCGCCAAAGAGACTCTATTGAGGAGCACAGGAAATTGCTCAAGAAAATTGAGCAAGATCATCTTCGAGCTGAGTAAGTAATCATAACCTCTTGTACTTTAATATGTTTATGATTATGTCAGGCATTTGCTTCCAACATACTTCTACAAATTTCGTTGAAACAATCCCATCGTGGCATTTGTTGACTCCTCCTCATCCTCTAAGTTCAAACCGTGCCTGCTGGCCCTTGAGGTTTCTCGGTCATCAAAAAAGAAAAAGATATTGATATGTTGACTCGTTAAGCTTTTGCAACTTTATGCTGTCAAAGTATCTCAAGAGGTTGGGAGGGTCTGACATGTTTTCATCATATTCTGTGGATAATTTGCCTACTCAGTTCCATATTGCAACATGGTACACATATTTGAATGTATCTGCCATATGCCAATCACTGTTAAGATAGTCCATTAACATCCCATCTGGTGCGACCAAGTTCTACCACATTACATCTTTGGATGTCTAGGTGTAACTATCGCCCAACTAAGTATTTCTACAAATTGAATATACACCTGATTTGACTTTGTCTGGACGCAACCAAACATACCCCTCCTTCCCACTTTATGGGATACACTTTTCTTTTTAGCCCGTTCCGAAAAGAATAACACATTTCTAAATTTGTAAACAATTAACTTTACACTTCCCATTTGACCCTTAATGAAAAGCTTTTATGACCATCCAGATTTTATGGCATTTTTAAGACCACAAGTTTCAAAAGTTCTATAGACACAAATGTTATGACATGTTTAAGACCACAAGTTTAGGAAGTCTTGATTTCTCTTTTAAACTCTATGACTATTCAAACTATATCACCTAATTTTGGAACTGAAGGAGTAGTAATTTTTTAAGGTTTACCTCTGCTGCAGTTTTACATGAACATCATGCGAGGATTGAAATTTATTAGACGTTTTACTTTTTTTCTTTAGAAGCTTACACTCTGTAGACACACAGCCGCTCGCAGAATATCCTGTTGCAGGGATACCAGTGTTTTTATCCAGAAAGTTCCTTTTCCTCTTTCTTTCTCTTTAAAATGCTTAGTATGAAAGTTTTATTCCCAGTGTGCGATTGATGTTTGGTAATTTGTGTTAATATTTAGTGTGATCTTTCCTTGTCTCTCTCTAGCTACTATTGTTTGTAATGCATCTTCTTTAAGGGCTGTTTCACGTATATTGTTTAATTTTGAGCAATTTTCTCATCTTATTTTGTAGGATGAAGCTATCACTGTATGCTTCTGTCACAAGTATCATCCCGGACTTGGATGATCAATCCAAAATATCAGGCCGTATCCTAATTACTTTGTTTGCTAAGCTAACATTTCTTATCCTTTTCTAAATTCACCTTGTGTCTGTTTTTTCGAGATTGTGCAGCAATTTAGTTCACCTTGACCTATTCTAGATATTGTGGAGAGAGATAAGAAGGTGGTTGAAAATTTCGAGTTTGATTCATCAAATCAAACTGCCTTTGACACTTGTAACAACATCTGGAAGATGATTAATTTGTAAGAAGCAGCATTGCTCAGGCTTAGTTATGACTTGCATTGTTAAGAGTACCTTATTGCCTTTGCTGATCAGATTTTTAATCTAATCATACTAGATATCATTGCCATTTTGCATTATAGTGTGTTTCATTTGAAGTATAATCTTGTATTTTGTACATGATATTTGTTGTTTCAGAATCCAAATCATTTCTAATGCTTTCACAAGTCTCAGTCTGTAAAGTTATAAATTGGAGAAAATCAACTAATAACATTTGCTAGGTAGCAAAATCCAATTTGCAACATTGATATGTAACTGCGCAAGCTTTTCTCAATATTCCATCATCATTCCATTACATTGAAAGAATTGCTCACATATTTCACCACACTAAATACAGCAACAGTATGATAAGAGAGTCGAGCTAGCACGTTAAACATTATGAAGATTTTATACCTCATATGGCCATTCAAGCAATTGTAAAAGTACAAAATGCATTGTGGAGATCAATAGGAAGCTGTAAGATTTTACATAAATGTTACAAGAAAGAAATATGCTACAAATTCTCATATGACTATATCTGGGGCATTGCTGATATCCCAATTTCAATTCATACATAATAGTTGATCTGTTGTCTCTCTTATACATCTCATTCAAGCCAAAAGTCACAAATGCTGTGTAAAAAACAGTGGAAACAGATGCAAATTCTCACAATCAGTGTTCAGGCCAAGGTTTGCCCATCAATCTCTCCCCCCGTAACAAAAAAAAACAACTAAACTTCAATCTGAGCAAGTTGAGATCTGTTTGAGTAAATTCTCACCGTCTGTGTCAATGCATCTTAGCCCATCTTATCTTGTATTATAATGACTGTTGGTTGTCTACTTAGGACCTACAATGTGAGCAAGCTCACAAAGGCAGAGACTCCCCCTGTAACCAGAAGGAAATGTAAAGGTGCATTTATGAACAAGCAAAAAATTTGACTTCAGGAGCAACAAAAATATTGTAACAGCTGAACTGCATATAAAAACAGACATTTGGTGACACTTAAATGAAGTCAAACTTCAACACAGAAATAAAACAAATCAAGTAAATGTGGTTTCCATATGATGCATATCTGCAAGCCCATAAACTAAAATGCGAAGTTAGGAATAAAAGAAATTGAATATAACATACTCAACCACCTTCAGCTGTTCTACATCACAGCAATTGAAACATAACACATTCGACCACCTACCTAAGCAACATAGAAACAAACATTAAAATTGATCCCCCAAATCCCAAATCAAAAGGATTGATTCATAAGTCGAAGGTCAACTTCAGAATATATCTTCTAGACAATAGATATGCAAATCATGTCAGACTCAAAGGCTGATGGCCAAAGATCAAACAATTCACACCAAGCAATAAACTACAACCTTGGGTAGACTAAAATCTAAAATTTTGACACATTTAAGCTAAATGCAAGAACTATATCATTTCATAACATCAACGGAGCAAATAAAAAGATGCAGGTCCAACACTTACTCGTAAGAATGGAGAGAGAGACAAACAACATATACAAGTGCACATGCCCACAGTCAACAATTGAACAGACCATCAAAACAACAAACATCATATGTATCCTCACGATTCTTGTTTCTTCATTTAATCTCATCTCAGGCGAAAATTTACAAGAATGTCACACTAGGAAAAAAGGAAGATGCGTGTTTGAGGAATTGAACCTACGACCTTGGGTTTTCCAAGGAACCATTGTGACCTGCTGGACTGGATGAGGAAAAGGGAAAACAAGATTGTTAGAAGATCATGTTTGTTGGAAGGGAGGAGAAACCAAAGGGAAGTCGATAAGTTATTTATCTCTTTTACCTCTTTAAAAAATTATTGTAATTTTTGAAATCTTTCCAAACAAATGAAAGTTTTCCAGGTAGAATTTAGACATCACTATGCTAGGCCGAACATTCACCAGAGCTTTATAGTAGCTAATGAACTACAACCTTCTCCAAGACCATGCGTGCGAGATCAATTCTAGATTGGGTATACTACAAAAGGGAAACTACGTTAGAAATAATGCCTGCCCAATGCAAAACTATCTCTTCCAGTACAAGGAGGGTGAAGGATGAGCAAGGGCAGCAGATGGAACAGAATCAGCAAACTGATATGGTGCAGGTATGGTGTTTGGCAACCGTGCAGAGCCTTCCATGTATGGTGGAGGCTGATTAGCATCACCAGATATGTTTTTTTGCAAGCCGTTGGAGCATTTCATGTATTGGTTTGGCCTATAAGCATCACCCGGTATGTTGTTTGGCAACCCCATAGAGCCTTCCAAATATGGTGGAGGCCTATAAGCATCACCAGGCATGGTGTTTGGCAACCCCATAGAGCCCGATGCTTCAAAGTAGGATGGCGACCTATAAGCATAGGTGTGTGCATCACCAGGGGGTCCATATAACTGACCAGTATGACTTCCTATTTGACTAGGTGTATGATCAACTAGAGTCCCTCCATGAACTCCAACACATGAACCTCCTTTCACTAAATTACCTGCTCCAGCTCCATCCATGGCCACAACACCTCCCACAGGTCCTGCCAGTGAGCCAACAGCATTTTGATGTATTGAGCCTGCAACAGTTTGATGCAATACCGACGGGGCCAGAGAATAACCATAAATTTGGCTGGCAGTTCCACTGCGTTCTAACAAGGTGCTGTTGCTGTCATCAACATGATTAACAACTCTATGTTGTTGTGGAGGCCATGGATTTGGATTTGGAAAAAGCGAGGGTTTCATTTCTTTGTTGCTGAAACTACCAGAGGACTCAGTCTCACCAAGTTTTCTCTTTTGTGTAATCTTTTGATCACCTATATGCCTAGTCAATTCGGCAACTTCTTCCTCACCTATATGCATATTCAAATCAGCAATATCTTTCTCCAAGTTCATTATTCTCACATCGATTTGCCAACCAGGAAGGAGTTTCGAAGGATCAATCTTGTGACGTTCCAAACATTCCCCGACAGATTCCAGATCAGACAAGTGCTTCTTTTTACCTGCACGCATAGCAATACTTTGATGTTCAAGTCCCTTAGTATTGTTCAAATATAACACTTCAGAGTTATGTAAAAATGATGTCAAGATTTTACGAGGGTTATATCTATCCCCCATTCCAAAAGTATAGGCAATGTCAATGGCCCCAACAACTAAAGAGTTATTCAACATCCACTGTATTATTTGTGGAATCTTTTCCATGAGAACTCTTGATCTCCTAAGGGCACCAAAAATCCCCATGGCGCCACCTGCCTTGAACAAAAATCTGATATCCCGATCCATAAATCCTTGTGGAATCCCAAAACACCCGATGAGCAACAGCAAACCCTGGGCATCCCTTTCATTAGCCTTTCCTATACCTCCTTCGGCTATCAGCCTCGCCCGCCATGCTAAAGCTGCCCGCTCTGCCTCATTTTTCGTCCGTTTATCAATCGCAACTACTCTCCTTTCTCCCATCATCAACAAGAGGCATTCCATAGCCAATAAAGAAGCCCGTCCCCTTGAGCTATTGACATGCCTCTTGCTCCCTTTGTTGATACACTGCACAACAAGCCTTGCTGGATTGCGCGACAGTTTCAATGCCTTAGGAAGTTGTTTAAGCAATCCATCTTTATCTGGCATATGCCTCACGATGTACCTCTTCAGACCAACAAAGTCCATCGTTTTGCACAGGATTTCCAGCTCTGAACGAGAAGACGATTTCAATTCCTCCTCCTTCTCCTTCCCCTTCTCCTCCTCCTCCTCCTCCTCCTCATCATCATCATCATCTTCTTCTTCTTCTTCCTCCTCCTCCTCCTCCTCCTTCTCTACCTCATCCTTCTCCACCACCTCCTCCTCCTCCTCCTCCTCCTCATATTCAGAGGGGTCAGACTCGAAAGATTGTTCTGGCTCTATCTCTGGTTTTGGCTTTGGATCTGGTTTTGGCTCTGGCACTGGGGTTGGGAGTGTCACTGGTGGCGGAGTGAACAGTAGTAGCATAGCGGAGTCAATTGAGGTCCGTGCAGATTCAATGTGTTGTTCTAGGTCAGTCAAGCATCGCTGGAACGCAAAGAGACCATCCGAGAGTTTGCTGAGATTGGCAATGATCAATTCCGGGGAATATCTTGGTTGCGATTCCGGCTGTTGAGATTCTGTTCGGACTACTCCGGTGTTCAATGTTGAATCTGGCCGTGGCATAACACCGGCGGAATCCGTTGTTTTTTTCATCTTATTCATCGGAGTAGAAATGGGGGGAAACGAGGAAAATTGACCATAAAGAAGAAGAGAGTAAATAACAAAATCAGTCTTTTAATTATTGGAAAAACTTAAACAAAAAAGAAGCTAAAAATAACCCTAACGTAGTGAAAATTTCTCAAAAATGTCCTTTTTTTTTTATTTATCGATAAAAAATATCTTTAAAATTATTTTTTTATTAAATTAAAAATACCCTATTTAATAGAATGATGACATAGTATAAATAAAATTTTAAATTAAACACATGACTTTAAAATATGGATCCACAATCCACACAAATATTTAAACCTAACTCAAAGGATTCAATCCATGAATAAATAAACTCAATCATTTTTAATATAACCCTAACTATTTTGAAGACACTAACGGCATCTTTAATTTGTCCACATTTTTAAAGTTCGTAGGAAAATTCATGTTTTTGAGTTATAAAATAGCTTTAAGAATGTGAATTTCTTTTATTTATTCATGGATCGGACCTTTTGAGTTGTATAAAAAACTCATGTGGATCAATATTTTAAAGTTATGTATTTAATTTAAAAACACATTATGTCATGTCATAATTTTATTAAAGAAGGATATTTGTAATTTTAAAATAACTTTAAAGACATTTTTTATTCGAAAGGTGAGAAGAGAGTATTTAAACAATATTTAATAGCTTGAGGGTATTCTTCAACTTCTTCTAGTTTTTCTCTAACGACATGTAAAGTCTTTTTAATTTTTCACAATAGAGGTGCTCTAGTAAGAAATCGATGAAATCGGAAGAAGACTTGAAAGAAGTAACCTAATATTGAACCGATAAATCATATACATATTTTTTTATAATTACATATACATAAAATTTTATTTTGCTATGAATAGTTTAAAAAAAGATGAATATCGGTGGTTTTCTAAAATCGAAATCAAGTTTTATTTAGACACTTTAATTGAGCTTTGTTCATTTTAGACAGCTTATGTAGGGTTTCATTGTACCGTTTTGACACCTTTTTTTTTATAATAACCCAAATATACAAAATGTGTGTAATACATTCCCTGATGATGTATGTATCAAAGTGACGATTTAAATGAAAACACTTTTGATTAGAAAAAACCCACTAATTTGATGACGTTTGACATTTTAAACTCAAAATAATAAATTTTTCTTAAAAATAAATTCATTACCAATTCAATCATGCTTAATCGTCTTTTTCAATCCATTCACTCGTCATCTTCACCTCCACCCACCCCAACCCCAATCGTTCTATCTCACCAAATCTTCCTCACCACCCACCCCAACCCAACCGCTTCTCAACTGGCCACCTGATCGTCCTCTTCACCTCCACCCCCCACCATTTCTCCACCCAACCTCTAACACTTTTTCCACCCAACACTTTTCTGAAAGAGTTTAATTAACTTTTAAAAAAATATAATTTTTTCTTTACTTTTCAAAAATCAGTTATTAATTAACAATGGAAGTTTTTTAATATCATTTTTGCAATTCTCACACGTGCAAAGGATTCACATACATTAAAAAAATACGTCTTTATTTCTTGTCGCTAAAATTTAAACTTTTAAAGAATCTTGTGCACTAAATTCATTTTTTATTGGATATATCATTAAATCTATTTCTATCATAAAAAAAGTTTAAGTTTGGAAAAAAAAAAGAATAATTTTTTTTATATAGAAGAAGAAGTCAAATAAGACTCTTACAGATAATTATAACGCTCTCACACTAATTATGTCATGTCGATAAAATATCAAAATGACATAATAAACTCTATTGTATAAGAACAATGTGTACTTATTTTTTCTTCATGTCAAATAATAAACAATGTGTAAAAGTTTATATACTTTATTGGTGATATCATTTGAAAAAACTCTCTCCCTATATTATTATTTCATTTATAGAATTTAAATTCGAAACTCTTAAATAAAAATAGCACATAAATAACGATTTTCTTTTGCTTTCTCCACTTGTTTCATTTTCCTACTTTTAAACAAACATTATTTTCAAGTTTCAAGGTGAAATGTTTTTTTTTTAAATCTTGTAACCATGTGCATACATGTTCTCATATTATTGACCTAGTTTACATGATAATTTATTTTAATTAGTGAACTTCATCTTTCAATTATTAAATTAGAAAGACAAATTATCCATGTATTACAAGTAGTTTAACTTTTAAACTAAGTTAAAAATATCAAATTAAAATTGAACTTTTTTGTCAAAGCAACTTTCTTTGATGACGATACAAATTATGAAATAAATTGAACTACTTGAACTATCAAGTTAAAACGAAGAACAAAGAAAGATGGAGAAAATAAAAAAACGTTATTAAAACTTTATTCTAATAGTGACATTAATAAAAAAATTGTTTGTAAATATTAAACATATATGTATTATTGTTATTGTGATTATTTAATTAGGATTCGAGAAGAGAAAATAAAAAATAATTATATATTAGACAATCAACGAAGCAATTATTTATTGATATAGGCATAAACAAGATATTTCATAATATCATTTTGCAGTACAGCACTATGGTCTATGGCACATTCACTTCTACAATTCTATAATTTTACTATTTATATATCTCCTATTTATATATAAATGGCAATAAGCACACAATTGAAGCAGATAACACGTAATTAAAAATAAATATGTGTGTTTTAGTTGTGTGCTTATTTACATATATTGCTATTTGGCCTAATGAATCAGGCTTGACATTTCAATTCTAATGTCTTGGGGTTCAAACCTTGTCTAACATTATTTTTATTTTAGTTTTTTTTCGTAAATTAATTACTTTCTTTATCTATTTTTATTTGTTATGTTACACTTTTCGAAAGTCAATTTGACTAATTTTTATTAATTTAGATTACATTAATTTGATATTTTAAACAAAAAATTTAGATACTCAAAAATTATATTGCAATTTTTTGCATATCAACATGATAAAAAAATATATTGCAAAATGTTAGTCAAAGTTTTTTTATAACTTGACGTTAAAAATAGAAAGTATGACAATGAATAGTGGACGGATTTGGAGTATTATTTTTTGACAATTAAAGACCTCTTCATCTACTAATTGATTTACGAGATTTTCACCTTGAAAATTTATGTTTTAATTAGTAGAGGTCTTTAATTAATTTCAGCTTATTTATTGATTTGAGGCTTTTGACATTTCGTATACGTAAATATATTTCTTATTCATATTTTAGTTATTCCATTTTTATAACACATGAGATAACCTCACATGTGTGGTTTTACGCAATAATTAACAACATATTGACTCTTGAAATTCTATTTTGTGCCACAATATATTTGGGACAGGAAAACTAACATATATTATTCAAAAATTACGTAAAGATACTATAAATTATGATACTTAATAATTTAAAGTATTTAAAAATCATATTAAAAATTAATTAACTCTTTACATTTTATCTATATAACATAAAGTGAGACAAAAAATAACAAATATTGAATCCGTGCTAGTACGACCACATGTGTCTAGTTTTTCTAATAAAAGAAACAAACCAATCACCTCTTAAAAAAGTCAAATGTAACAATTTACCATTAAAATAATCTCAAGTGAAATTAACATTTTTTCTATTTTTTTCAAAGAAAAAATAATAAAAAATGAAGAAGAAAAGAAAGAAAGAAACAAAAGCAGAATAAGCCATTTTTGTTGTTTGCCCCTTTTCTTGTCATCCCTTTTCCTTTTCCAACGAATCTCTCAGAATCACAAATTCAAAAAAAAAAAAAAAAGTTAGGCCGAATCTCACAACTGTCAGCACTATCATTGTATTAACCCCAGCTCAACTCTCATGTTAATACATACATTTACATACATATGCCCCAGATCTGTTCTCATATTTCCAATAATTGTTTCTCTAAGATTTGCCAAAATCACCACCAGTAATTTCAATGCTTTGTTGGGGCTAAAGATTTGATCTTTTGTTCAAGAACTTATTTGGGTTTTCATTTTCTTGGATTCTTGTTTCAATGTTGTAATGTGCTTGTTGTATGTAGATCTTGAGCTGGGAATTTCATAATTTAGAGTGTTGGATTGAGGGAAAAGGGATAAGGGAAAGGGGGTAACTTTTTTTTTTTTTTTGAAAAGGGGGCTTAAAAATGGTGTTTTGGGAGGGTTATGTGAGTGATGAAGTGATGGGGACATTTGCCCCAATAGTGGTGTATTGGTTGTATGCAGGGTTCTATCAGCTATTGCCTCCCATGGATAAATATCGTCTTCATACTAGGAAAGAGGAAAATGCCAAGAACTTAGTTCCACTGGCTTCTGTTGTTAAAGGGGTTCTTCTTCAGCAGTTTTTTCAGGCAACTGTTGCCCACTTGCTCTTTTTGGTAATTCCTCAGCTATTTTTGGTTCTGGTTCCATAAACTGTGTCTGTCTGTCTTGGTTGGAGTTCTTTGGATTGATTAGTTAACTGTGTGACTGGGTGGATAAGGCCTGTAGAAATGGATAAGTAGAGTTGCTCCTTTGATGGCATGTAGGTCACACGTTTGAGGCATCGATACAAACCTTTAGTAGAAATGCAAAGAGAGGGCTGTGTACGACATACACCTTCCTCCTACGAACACTAGTTGGGAGCACTTAATGCATTGGCTAAACTGATTTATAACAAAGTGGTCAGATTATATTGCTGTCAGACTTCCAATTATGACCAGCTTGTTGTTTGCAGTTACTTACTTAAGAGGGTAATGAACTATTGCATGACTTCTCATGTAGTGTGCTCTAATTAGTGCACTGGTTATTTGATTTTGATTCAATACTCTTCTATTTAATGTGCCAATCAGCCTTAGCTTATGCAGTGATTACTTTTATCGACAACATTGACCAGCGACAAACGTTCTCCCCTCTCCCCTTCATATATAATATATAGCGTTGAAATGCTAATCACATCTCTGTGTTTGGCGTTGTCCTTCATCGAATATTGTTCCTCATGAAGTTGATAGAAAAGGAGTCAGAGCGGCAGAAAGGAAGTACAGAAAAATTCATCTATAGCTTAGTAACCATTATGTCATATACTCGTGAGAGAATGAAGCACTTAAGATGATGAAAGTATTTTCTGAACAAGTTAATGAATGCAGGAATGGTGCCTTTCAACCTTTTTCTTTAGAAGCATTCATAAGTTCGTTCTATACAGACGGTCCAATAGCGGACATCCTCAAATGTGCTCCCCCCTCCAATACACATAACAGTATAAGTCTTTGATCGTTCAATGGATTGACTACATTGCCATATTTTATTTTGTCCTTTTAAGAACATTTTCTTCATGAAATTGATAGAAGTGGACAGAGAGAGGGAAGAAGTCTAGAATATAATATCTGAAGCATGGCAAAATTGATCATCATGTTATATTCTCCCAGGTAAATGTAGTATCTTTTTAACAAGTAGATGAACGAAGGGTTGGACAAGTTTCAATTTTTTGTGTGTTGCAAGAAGCATAAGAAGGTTAATAAAAAATGTTAAATTAGATTATATGCATTTTGTAGATGCCGTTGAATCAATTTGTGTATTTGACCTAACCTATAAGCACGAGGAAGTGAAATGAAGATCTAAGCAGCTTTTCTAGTCTTACTGAAAAGCATGCTTCATATGTTCCCCATTTTCACTTCAAGTACGCCAATTTAGGGACACATCAGAAATGAAAGAGCTTCAAGGAGACACCAAATGGTGACTTCTCATCTCGCATCACATATTGGAATTTTGAAGGAAACTATCTGAAAGATCAGTTTCTCCCATTATGGTCAAAGTAGGAAATATGCTATTTGGATAACTAGCATTCTACCCTTCGGGGTGACCCAGTGGTTTGGGCTTGGGACTTCCATGTTGGAGGTCTCCATATCGAAACCCCTTGCAAGCGAAAGCAAGGGGTTTTCCTTCTGGGTCGCGCTCGTCGTACCGGGCTTGCCAGTGCAGGTTAACTCTCCTACGTGGTTTGCAAGCTCTTGCATAGGAGCGGGGGTTTCTCCTTGTGCGCACTCTAAGGGTAGTGGATGTTGGTTCCCCTAGTTATTTAAAAAAAAAAACTACCATTCTGTTGTATCTTCCAAATCAGGGTGTTGTATTAGTGGCCATGCCAGATTTACTTGTACAACCTGGACCTTGCATGTTGCTTCTTTTTTCTTTTATACATTGCTATGTTTGTTGAACTTGAACTTCTAGAATAAACTTGCAGAATTTGTAATTTCAAAAGGCTTTGGGGACACTTCCTATGATGTAGATAGTTCAAGTCTTGCTATATTTTAGTCACCATTGAGCTGATCAACCTAAAAATAAACGTGGTACCAATACTGTTTCCCGGACGACTATTATAACTACATGCTTATCCAATGGGTAGCTACTCACCTGGATTTCCTCGACGTAACCATTGGATAACACCAATATAATTTAGCCATGTGGACGAACTCTTCCATACCCTCTCCCTCTGTTAGGCCACAACTTTCATATTGGTCTTATAGCATCTGCAGACCTATGGTACTGAAGAGAACACATGTTTCGGAAGTTTTTTGCTCCAAAAAAGTGATATCTTATCTATGGTGAAATTGCTGTTTGCTCTTGTAATTGTGTTGGGATAATGAATGAAGAACCTGTGACCACTTCTTCCCACAGACATGTATCAGTGTGAGCGCTAGTCTATACCAGCGGATTCTATCCATAGGTCATATATATGCTAAGCAACATAGACCCATAAATGAGCCAAAGGAAGAATGAACTTTAGAGTCATCCTGATGGGTTTATCAACTAACTAAAATTACCCGAGTCTCTGGTTTAGCGGTCAATGAAGTGGGTGAAAATCACGAGAGACCAGGGTTCAAAATCCTAACTCAGGCAAAAAAACTCTAGATGGTTTCTTTTCATTTGTCTAAGCCTGTTGGACACAATTACTAGGTGCCTTTGTTGGTGAGAGGCGGTTGATACCTGGTGAAATAGTCAAATGGTGCAAGCTGGCTCGAGCACCACAATTATCATTTAGTAAATCTAGTAAAAATTATTTTCTCCCCCTTCAAAGATGGCTTGCACATTTATGGGACTGTCTTTAATATGTATTTTTTCCTTTTTGTTTCTTCAGCTTTAGAATTCCCCATGCTTACAGTTTGCTTGAGTATTTCTTGAATTTGGATAATATACCTTGAACACATTTCGGAACAGATCAAACAATATGTGTGGTCATCTCTCTTCTTTATATTATACATCCAGAAACCTACAAATCCTCCTGCCTTCTTTTTATCCGAATTAATCGTTTTAATATGTTTATCGAATTTTTTTGCTCTGGGGTTCCATTAGCTGCTAGGGTCACATGATAAAGGTGATCTTTTGCCTTCTAGTGAAGTTTTGCAGCTGTCAAATCTCTTCACCCACGACCTATCAGTAAAAATGTATTAACCTAAACTTTTTATGGTTGAGACACGTGGAATGATCTATGCCTCCAATGTAGGGTTTTGGGTTGTTAATGCAACATGAAATTTTTTCTGGTACAGTTGTATTTGTTCTGACCTACAGATAGTTTCGAAGATGCCATCTATATTACTTGGGTCTCTATGAGCAATTATCATGGATAGATCAAGAGGGAATTCTGTTGCAAATGGTTAATGATCTAACTGGAACTAATAAACGGAGTAGGTCTTGACATTCATACTTACATATTGGAGTTTAGAGATTTCTACAAATGCTTATTTTGCTCATCGACTGTCAGGGAAACAAATTTTTGTCTCATAATCTGATATTGCGAGTTTGATGAGTTGTGTTCGCTTCTCTTCTTTTTACCTTTTTCATTCTTTTTTGTTTATGTATTGGGTAGTAAGAATTGAAATTCAAATGATACCTGGTGACTTTAAGACTAGGAGGTTACCTCCCAAGCTATTGAGGCTATTGGACTGTTTGCGATCATCACATCTTTTACCATGTTTAGGTTGACCTCAGGTCAAATTACCTCATTCATCTTATCCTCTTTCACTGTTGATCTCCAGGGACACAATATTTAATGTGGATACAGTCCAAACAACCACAAGTCTCACCCTTGCTTCAAATCCATCAGCTAACACATCTTTTGGTCCAGTGACAATTCCTACCACTTTTCTACCACCAAACATGTTGTGAATTTCTGAGTCAAATGACCAATTTGTAAAACTTAATTGATATAACATCAGAACATCAAGACCAACATCTTGTCTCTAATATACTTGTTTGCCTAAATCCATGACCTGAAGGCAAAAGTGCCTGTCTGGTTTCTCCAACAATATTCCTTAGTGTGGAAATTTGTATAGATGTTTTAGAACCACTGCAGTTAGCTCAATCAGAACAGTGATCAAGCAACAAATGCTGGAAACTAATGTCGTTAACTTTAAGGCTAATTTCAGGTAGGCAATCACTAGGCCGAACTGTTCTGTTATCACTATTCATCTTGTCAAGTTTCCCTAGTGCAACTGGCATTGATCAACAGGGGCTATTCAGAAAGGAGTAAGTGGAGTAGAGATTGTGGCTTTTTATAGTTTAATAGGCTACAGATTGGGAAATTAATAGATGGGGAAGGTAGGTGTGGTAGTAGCAACAGGAAATTGGGAGACAAGTAGATGGGAAAATTGGTAGGGCAAAGGGGAGTAAGGGGACCACAGGTGTGAGTTGAGGTCAGAATGTGAAATTACAAACTGGTCAATCAGGGTGGTAGCTGAGGTTGGATTTTGACAGAGTACTTCACTTTTTTTTTTGGAAACTGGTCAATGTGTATTACTCAACATTGAGGACATGCTGCAGACCATCAAAAAGTGTTGAAAGTTAAAAAAAAATAAAAAATACAAAAGAAGATACTTAGATCTTAATAGATCTACAAAATGATCAATATTCTCTAAACCTACTTCTTTACAACAAAAGTAGAATGATATTATACAATTCGATTTAACTTTCTGAATGGAATTGGATCTATCTTCACAGCACCTCCCATTTTTCTCTCTACAACTGTCCACCAGATGCATTGTGGTATGATCCTCCTCCACCACTTCTTTTGGCTTTTGCTACCTCTTCTTTTCATTCAGCAGCTAAGCAAATTTGCAGTATGCTCCAGCATGGTCCAACTTGTCTTTATTATGTTGAGAAATAAGAGACCAAAGTGGTGCTGTAAGAAGCACTTGGAAACTATGATGGCCCCCTTTTTCTTCGGAACTTCTTGTGTCAGGCATGTTCTTTTAACCACCAATCCAATAAAGCATTTTACCTTAACTAACACAAAGTGCACTAGGTACCATTACTTGTAATAATTCTGGTTGATTTTATTAGAAGTAATGGTTCCTACTTCCTAGTGCACCTAATTGTACGACACTTCTAGTTGATTGTTAGAGCTGTAATTCGTCTGCAATTTTCATAATCTTATCCCTCTAGTGGTCAAAAAATTATTGCGTAGTTAGATTTCTTTCATTGTTGAAAATGATTCTCTCTTCTTAAGAAACAAGGGTGTATAATGTTGTTTTAATGCTTGTACTAAGCTAGTTTACTCTGAGGCTAGCCCCATTCTGCATTAACTTAGAACTTAGAAGGTTGAATCTGCTTGCTAGCGTGAAATAATGTTGCATGGGTTCTTAGTGCTGATTGAAAGAAAATCATGAGGTTGTGTAATAAGGTCATCTGAAGTTTAATTTCACTTCGAGTAAAGATTTTGGCGCTTAAAAGCTATTCAATTGAAGAGGAAGTATCAGTTTCCTGTACCAGCAACAATATGTCTACAGTAGAATAACTAGTGATTGTTAGAATTGGGAGTATAGATTCTTCTAGTTTCTGCAAAATCAGATACGATATTTAGGAGTATTTTTCTAAAAGGTCGGGAATGAAGATTGGTAATCCTGTTTCTTTATGATATTGATTAGCTTTTGCAAATTCTACATAACTAACACTAGTTTCTGGTTTCCTATTGCAGTTAACTTGTAAGGTAACTACATCAGGAACTGTAGTCCAGCCCTCAATTCCTGTTCAGATTGTGCAGATCATTATTGCGATGCTGGTCATGGACACATGGCAGTACTTTGTGCATCGCTACATGCATCAGAACAAGTTCTTATACCGCCATATTCACTCCCAGCATCATCGGTTGGTCGTGCCTTACGCAATTGGTGCCCTTTATAACCACCCACTTGAAGGTCTCCTCCTGGATACTTTCGGTGGTGCTCTTTCGTTTCTTGTTGCTGGAATGACTGCACGTACTGCTGTAATCTTTTTCTGTTTTGCTGTGGTCAAAACAGTTGATGATCATTGTGGACTTTGGCTGCCTGGTAATATCTTCCATTTGTTTTTCCATAATAACACTGCTTACCATGACATTCACCATCAGCTTCAAGGCACAAAGTTCAATTATTCTCAGCCATTCTTTTCCATTTGGGACAAACTTCTTGGAACATACAGGCCATACAGACTTGTAAAAAGGCCTGAGGGTGGTTTCGAGGCACAACTGATGAAAGATTAGTTGGTTTTGATCATTAGTCTCTGTATGAAATCAACATGTCTTTTGTAGGGATAGCTACCAAGTTGAGGTTGTTCACTCTAGCAGTTGCCTTGGAAGGTCCACATTCATCAAGACTTGAAAGTGTGCTGCAGAATTAGAAATGTTCATTCTTTTCTTTTCAGTTGACCCTGTTTATTCGTAATTTTTGTCTAACCTCTTGACGATTTGTAAGCCTATTGTTTCTGAGTTCTTACTTTGTGCAGTATACATTTTCAACTATTGCAACTTGCTCAGACTTTAGCAGGTTGATTTTGTATTGCCTTTCAAGAGTTGTGAGTCGAGAGAAATCAAGATCATGTAATTACAATTGTTCAAACTATGTAGTGTAAAATTTCATGGTCATTGAAGTTATTTCAATCACCCTTGTGCTATTTTGTTTGAAGCCTTTGTGATACATCATACACTTTATAAAGACTTGTGAAGTTTTCTCTTTAGTTCTTCTTTGATAAAATCTCATTTCTTCTACTACTTGAGGAGCCTGCCTTAGCACCAATCAAACATTCAAAATATTGCTACTTGACAGTGGACACAACATAACAATTGCTTAAGAAAATGATTCAACTACTGCATACATGTAGAGCCAAAAGTACATTGAATCAACAGCCAAACAAATGTCAAAGTTAATTTTTCTCTAAAGCTCCTCTTTTCATGACATTATACATAACAGATTCCTCATCACAACTTTCTGCAAGAGGAAGAAGCTCCTTGCTTCGGACTTCTGAAAATGAGTCGTACCTCTTCTGAAAGCAAGTTCTGGTATAATGGTGGAGTTTCTCCTTTGGATACCTGTAGGTCGCGACTTCTACAGTCTCTAAAGCTGAAATGCCAAGTATGTTGCATACAATATACGTCCAATCTCCCTCATCTATCAAACTCGGGGAGCACTTTGTACAAGGTGAGTCTTTGTAGGCATACATTCATATGGTTTTCTGTGCCATGTCAAACTAATGTGCTTTACACACATATTTAGATCAACCTCACCAGTATTCTTTACAAGAACAAGCCCCATCTTTGAATCTGTGAAAACGAGTCCTGTCCCTCACAATAATCTCTCGCTCGTATATCTTTGATATGAGCTTAATGACAACATGACAATCCCCACATATTCTAAGATTCTTATTCACACTTATACAAGTCCTATCAGGTGTACTAATCAAACCAAAAGCTACTGCCAGTTTCTCACTATGATAAAACAGTGCATTCTCCTTCTCCTCCGGTCCAATATCATGAAACACATAATTAGTTTCTGCCACATACCCGTATTCCCTAATTCTCAACGAAACCTCATCAAGCTTCCAGTAAATCTCATTCCACTTTGGATGGTTTTTATCACCATTCATAAATTTGTATATCGTTCCACCAACTTCAATGTAGCTAAAGCCTGGTACCTTCTTTACATCCTGACCTTTCATGGCTTCCCTTACTCTTCTCACATCATGCCACCTCCCTTGTGCTGCATAAAGATTGGATAGCAACACGAAATCCCCACAATGATTTGATCCCATTTCAACGAGCTTCTTGGATGCTATCTCTGCCATTTCCACATTACCATAAGTCTTGGAAGCCCCTAAGAGAGTTTGCCATAAAACTACATCAGGAAATGTAGGCATTGACTGTACAATTTTATAAGCTGCCTCCAACCGCCCAGCTCTTCCCAACAAGTCCACCATACTACCATAGTGCTTCACATTCTTACTCACTCCACATCTGTCCATGTCATCAAACAATTTCATTCCCTCTTCCACCATTCCTGCATGGTTACAAGCACAGATTGCAGCTAAGTAACTCACACTATCTGGGTCGATCCCAGCTTGGCCCATCCTCTCGAAAAGCTCAAGTGCTTGCTCTCCATCTCCATATATCGCAAGAGCCATAATCATGGTATTCCACGTGACACGAGTCCTCAAGCATTTCATTTCACTGAAAACTTCATAAGCTCTTCCAACAACACCACATTTCGCATACATATCAATAACCGCATTACAGACAATCACTTTGCAATCAAGATTCTTACTTTTGATATACTCGTGAACAAGTTCCCCTTCTTTATTCGCCCCCAACTGCGAACAAGCAGAGAGAGCACCAAGCACAGTAACCTCATTTGGTTCCATATCCTCCTCTCTCATTTTCTTAAAAAGCAACAAAGCTTCCGTGGGTCGATTCCCTTGAGCTAACCCAGCAATTAATGCATTCCAACTCGCAATATCTCTAACACCCATTTCATCAAACACCTTGTATGCATAATCCAAATCACCAGATTTCGAGTACGCATCCAGTAAAGTAGTCCGCAACAACACATCTGCATCAAACCCAAATCGAATCACATGGGTATGAAGTTGTGGGGTTTCGGAACGGGCCAATGCACGAGCACATGCTTTGAGAGTGAAGGAGCAGGTGAGAGCATCAGGCTTACAAAGGGAACGAGACATTGAGACATAAAAAGTGAGAGCATCAATGGGCTTGTGGCTTTGAGCAAGGCCGCGAATAATGGCGTTCCATTCATTCTTGAATGGGGAAGTAATGTGGCGGAAGATATGGGTGGCGTAAGGGAGGTTTCCGGCGGAAGAGACGGCGCAGAAATCCAAGAATTTGGCGCGGCAAGTGTAGAATTGAAAATTGCCGGTGATAATAAGATGGGCTTGGAGTTGTTTGAGTTTGGAAAAACAAGTACATTTTGACAATAACGAATCAACGTACGCCATACCACACTAATGTTGCTTGGGGCACTTTTATATGGGAACACTTCGAGTTGCCTCGGTGTAATTGGTAAAGTTACGAGGAGGTTACGAATTTGAGTCATGAAAATAAATTTTTTTGCGGAAATATAAGATAATACTAGGGGTTTTCATGAGTTGGTTTAGGTCCATTATTAATCAAAATCAAAACAATTTAATCGATTTTAAGATTATCAAAATCAAACCAAACCAAATATAATGTACATTTATCGGTTTGATTGTTTTCGTTTTGATTTAATTTGGTTCAGTTATTCGGTTATTAACCATACGTAAAGATAAAAGAAACAATTCATTTAAAATGTGAAAAAAGTGACAACAATCCATTCAAACGAAAAAATAGTTAGAATGAATGATATTACAGATATTTTAATCATTGAATTAATTTATTGAGTAAAACTTCAAAATTCACTATTTTGGCATTATAAGGAGAAACAATGATATTTTCAGTCTCACAAAGAATTTCGATAGACACTCATATATAAACATTAAACCAATAAGAAAAATATTCTCACCTTGAACCTTTTTTTTCCATAAGTAAATTATAAATAATTTTTTATATATATAAAATCTTTAAAATTGTTTATGAATATAATTATTATATATGTATGATAATAAAATTTATTTATATTAACTTATTGGTTTGGTTCGGTTCGATTATTTCTTCGATTTTTTCCGAACAAAACCATAATCAAACCAAATACTATCGATTCTTACTAATCTAAAATCTAATCAAAATCCAAATTAAATCGGTTTGGTTCAATTTGGATCGGTTTTAATCCAAACCATGCACACCCCTAGTTAATACTATGTACTCTGTCTGTCTAATCATAATTGTCCACTATATAATTTTAAAATGTCCATCAATACTTGTTCACTGTACAAATTTTTTTTTTGAGGGACCTCAAAAATATTTTTTGTCATCTTCATTATTTCATATCGAAATTACTAATCTCAATATTATCCTCTTGTAAGAATAACTTATCATAATATTAATTATTAATTTAAATATAACTTGTCCAGCATATTAGCATATCTTTAAAAATCATAATTAAACCAAATATTATTCTTTCTTTGCCTTCATTCTATACTTGATCTTCTCTTTTGCTGTTGCTATTTAACTATCAGATTAATATTCAATTTGTAGGGGATATTTTAAAGAAAATCATGTAAAAATTGACATTACCAAATATTGATATAGATGACTAATCATGGTAAATGCATGTGTTTAGTCGCTGATAGTAACTGATAATAATTGATGATATTAATTAATCAAAAGTGATAGATAAATTAAGATGATGATTAGTGCTAACTAATGTCAATAATTGTTGTCATTGTAGTAATGATTATTATGAATAGTGATAATAATTACTTTTTTATTTAGTTAGTCCATTTTAGAAAAAGGTACACATATTAAGATAACAATAATTAATATAGTGAAGTTATAATTTTACCCTTATTAAATATGGTTTCAAAAATGATAAATTAAAAGTTATAAATTTTTTCAAGAAGTTTAAATGAGGGTATAATAAGATTTTTTTTTAAATCTTTTCTTGATTTGTTAAAATGGACAAGTAAATACGAATATATAAAAAATATGGACAAATAAATAGAAACAGAGAGAATATTATTAATAACTAATGATTATATTTTAATTATCGTACTTATAAACAATGTTTGTTGTGAGAATAATGATTGAGGTAATAGAACAAATGGTTAATGACAACGACGATACTTTGCGCTAGTGAAGAAAGGATAATCTAATTATAAACTACCATCTTTATAATCTTATAATCAAATTCAATAAGAAATTTAAAATCGGAATAATTAAAACTAGTAACTTCAACACAAATAAGTAAAGCTGTCAATATGGACTGAACTATTTTCTGCACAAATCCGTATGACTTTGAATTTTTACGGATCAATTTGGACTAGTCCATTTTTTATGTGAGTTGAAAAATGATCGGTCCAACTCATAAGTATGTGGGCTATGGGATTACCGGCAGCCCTCTTTTCTTAAAGGCATATTTTTTTTATATAATTTTCTAAATTAAATTATAATTCAAAAATATTATCACGATGTTAGTGATACTGCTTGCTAATTAAATTCACAAATAAAATTATTTTTATAATAGTTATCAAGTTGATTTTAAGTAAAAGCATAAATAACTAAATAAAAATATTAACTTCACTGTTTTCAGAATAATAAAACACAAAAAATATGACAATATTTCATAGGCTACGGACTACGGCCTATGTAATGATCTCCTAGAAATTTTAGGGAGTTTGTAGTTTGTGTACTACATATTTTATAAACATAATTTATATTGAAGTTGTAATATTTTCAACTTTAAATAGAATTTGAATTTAGACTCTTGTTATTTTTAATATTTTATTTTATTTTTTATTTTTAATTAATATTTATTTGATCCACATATCGATTCTATCCATATTTTTATTCAGGTCAAGTAAAAAAAAAAATCTTAAATGAGGACCGTCCAACAAACTTAACTCATATTAAAAGACCTAACTCATATTAACGGCTCTACAAATAAAGACTTTTTCTAAAATAAAAAAGAAGAAGACATGTATACATGAAATATAAAGAAGGAACCAGAAGCATCTAGACATTTCTAGCAGGCCCCACCTCTACACTGATATATAAAGCAACTGCCGTTTGTATAACTTTCTTAACGCAGTTGTTATCTCTCAATTTTCCCGTCTGTGTATTATAAAATAATGAGGTATGTTCTTCAATCTTCTGTTGGCGGAATAATCTATGCTTATTTTCTTCTTTATAGCTTGTGTATATTTTATCTATTGCGTTATGAGTAGAAAACTTGTAGTTGTTACTGTTTGTGAAGTTCTTGATTTTATTGTTGAAATGTTTGAATTGAACCCTAGGATTTTAGAGTTTTGAACCTCGCGTAAACAGAAAATTATACATGATTTTAGTTAATTTATTTTTTACGCATATAATGTGGATGTTGAATCCTTATGGATTCTTCATCAGTGGTGTATTAAGAATAAGATTTGAACTTGGTAACTCGAGGTGAATTTTATATAAAAATGTGAACTCCGTTGGTACCTTCTAGATCCGTCCATGCTCTTCAATCTTCATATTTTAGAACGTTCTAGAACCCGTTAGTGTGCTCGTCCCTTGAGCCCGGGGCGGAGCCAGGTAGGGCCCAGGGGTTTAGTGTTTGAAGTTTTAGTAGTATTTAGTGTGCCAGCCCCTTGATCTAGGGACTGAGCTAGGTAGGGCCAAGAGGGTTCATCTGAAACCAAAACAAAATCATTGATGGAAAATTATATGGGTTGTACATGGTTAAGCTTTTCTTCATATGTTGAACTTTTTTGAACTTTTCATGTGTTTACTTTTTTATATTTTGAAACTCCATCTTAGCGTGTTGTAATTGGTTTGATGTGGTTCTTGATTCAGAACAAATAAATTTTTTCTTCTGTATTTAACTATATAGCAATTGGGACCGGCTGGAACGGGTCATCTTTCAATTACTTGCGTCATGAATATTGTGGGATAATTTACCACAGACAATTATGTGAAAGGACATTGTTAACATATGATGAATTACACTGAAGAAAATAATGATACTTTGTTTGCTCATCTCCTCAAAATTTCTTGATTTGAAATACATTTTGTGATTTCTTGGACTGGCTGTGCCTTTTTGGCTGTGTTGCTCCGACTCTTTAAAAATATTAATGGGTCGGATTCTCCAAAAGTAGTGTATTTTTGGAGAATTCGACACAAGTGTAGAGTAGTTTTGGAGGCCGACACAAGCGTAGGATTGAAAGTGTAGAGTCGGCGCAACTTAGGATTCTGGAGTGTCTATCCACATCCTGCTAATTGTCTCTTCCTCGTTTTGCCTTGAATAGTGGTTGTGATTTTTATGATTTAATTGGTATCAATTTGTTTTCTGCTTCTCTATCTCAGCCGACATCCTACTATCAAGTGGGCTCAGAGGTCTGACAAGTTGTTTATTACGGTGGAGTTACCAGATGCCAAGAATGTGAAGCTGAAACTGGAACCAGAAGGAAAATTCTTATTCTCTGCAACTGCAGGAGCTGATAATGTACCTTATGAAGTGGATCTTGATCTGTTTGATAAAATTAATGTTGATGTAAGTGAATTTCCATCAGTTTGCATCATCTGCAAATTTTTGTGCGAGATAGAAGAACCCATGTTAATTTTACTGTAAAATGATCATTCAGGAGAGCAAAAGTAGTACTACCTCTAGAAGTATCGTGTATCTAGTGAAGAAGGCGGAAGACAAGTGGTGGAGCAGACTGGTAAAGCAGGAGGGATTACGTCCGGTGTTTTTGAAAGTTGATTGGGACAAATGGGTTGATGAAGATGAAGAAGACAGTAAACGTAAGTATGAAGTCACTAGGGATATCTTCACTGTTGATATTAGCCACTTGGTATATTTGCTAACTATGAACTAATTTCAGCTGAGCCAGATATGGATTTTGGTGACATGGACTTCTCGGTAAGCAGCTCTAAAGATATTAATAAGCGATAGTGTTAATTCGAGTCTATATTGATGCTGATATCTTAACATTCTCCCTTGTATTATTCTCTCAGAAACTCAATATGGGAGAAGGTCCTAGCAATTTTGATGTTGATGTGCCTGAGGGTAAGTCTGATTTGGTTCTGAGCAATTACTGATATTCTTAGCTTCAAATCGATTGCTTGGATTGGAAATTTGTTATTTCCATCCTCATCTAATATATAAATTGACAATGTTTGTGCAATAGGCGATGATGACAGTGACACTGAAGAAATTGAGGAAGAAGAGAACTCTGAACCCAAGGCAGCAGTGCCTCCAAGCACCGAACCCGGAGTGAAAGCTTGACGCATTCCAGTGTTTGTAACATTGAAAACTTTTTAACTGCTTGCTTGAGTTTGAGTGTGGTACATTCTTCTAGCAATGGTTAGAGCTGTAGTGCAGGAAATGTTTGATGATCAGTTCATGATATATTTGAAGGATCTGAAAGGGCTGGTGTCCTCATTGAACTTTGTTATCATGTACTGCACATTACATATGATTTCTCAAACATATATAAAAACTATGTAATACTGGCTAGTGCAGTGCAACGTTCAGTTTGCACAATAACATGTGGAAATCCATGTTATCCTTATAAGATTGATGTTGTATAATCGTATATCCTACTGAAGTCTGCGTCTTCACATTTTTTTTTTACAGTACAACAACACTAGCATTACAAGTCCTTCAACTAAACAATGACTGTTCACTTCTTTTCTGATGAAGCTGTTCCCTTCTTTTGCTCCCTTGTCCTTCCTTAAATCTTTACAGTAAATCATAGATAGTTGCCTTGTGTCCTTTTCCCCAGAAACACAAGTCAAGTGTTTGAACCTAGTCACAGAGTAAGCAGAGAAAGGTAGATAGGCGTTTTTGAACCTAGTGCTACAGAAAAATCGGGGTTGGTTTCATGTGTATAATGCCCAGCTGATGAACAGGAAACATAACGATAACTTTGCCTAGATAAAGAGTCTTCTTAAGAGAAATCCTCCAACAACTCATTGAACAATACAAGTGCACATGTAATGATGCCAGTGTTTTCACTTTCAGGGTCTAATCAAGCATCTCTATTCTTGAAACAGGCAATGACCTCACACAAGGTACTGTAGCAATTTGCAGGTGAGGACAATAAGATCTGTTTGTCTATCAGAAGAGCAAAATCGGTTCAGAAGTACAGAGTTTTACCAATTTTTCTGCATGTACTTCCCCGGAGTGAATCAAAGTTGATGGATAAGCCGGAAAAAACATCTCAACATAAAATTAAGCTCTTTCAAGATAATTCACAATGACTTGGTTGCAACAAGGGAAGAATGTGGGAGGCTCTTATCTTTTCAGTGTTCTGTCTCCAAATTGGAAGTGATGGGGAATAGTGAGAAAAGGTAAGAGAACAAACATACGAGTACAAACATCATTAGCCAATGGCTTCTGATAACCACCATGGAACACGGGTAGATCATAGGTTATCCCACTAGTTGGTCTAAATAATAGTTGGTCTATAAGAGATCCCAACTTTCAGCCATTTCCATTCTAAAATACTTGACAATAAGAAATATTACGTGCAGTTTACTAAAACCTAGAAAGAAACCTACAAGTAAAGTCCAAGTGCAACAAGATCCCTTTTTCCATCACCGATAAATGATGATGTATTCCCACAGAGTGCTCTTCGATGTTCTATTAGTATTTATGATCCGCAAGATGGTCAAAGGTCAAGGATATCAAAACCAAAAACAAGGACTGTTATACGAAAACCTTCTTTTCCTGAAACTATACGGAGACCTTCTTTGGAAATAAAGAACTAGGAGAACTGAATATTAGCTAAAAAATATTTTATAGAGCCAGTTCTGGCTAAACATACCCAGTGGTCCAACATCTCCTTAGCAACTTTTTTCAGCTCCATGACAGAAAGCTACAGGCTTGGAGTAGACACTGGAGCCATGAATAATTTTCAATATCCACGCATGTCAGAGTATCAATTCCGACTCGAAGAGATACTCAAGACTGACAAGGAGCATAAAATCACATCTGGAGTGCCAATCAGAACACAGTTTCCTGATCCTTTAAATTTTATCTGCATGGCAACAGGGTTAAGTTAGGCACGTAAATGAAGGAAGGAGGATATGGAAATAAATTGCATGGTCATTCCTCCAATCAAAGGGATTCCAAACCTTCCCATATTTACAACAATGGACCTTTTCATACTTACAATTTCCAACTTCAATATTCTTGACAAATCAAACACAGAGTGGATGCAAAAGTTGCAAATTCAACAATCTGCCACAAAAGCTAAAGAGCACTGACCTATTAGATACAATACCCAATGGAACAACTGAAGAGAAAGACGTCCTTTCCTGCAACTTTTTGTCTTCGAGTGAAATATATAATTTACAATGAAACAATGACCCCTACCCCAGAGGTACAGCACATCTCAGGTAGATAAAGATGGAGAGAAGCCTGTCAAAATTTGGCAAAGGATGGCTCAATATTGTCTTGACTCTTTCCCAGCATGCAAGAAGAATATTCTTGATACCTATAAGAATTAATCCAGGCCAACCCACTTCCTAAAGTGCCTCACATGCTCAATCCTCTGAGTTTGTACGTCATTTTTAGCATCAGATACTTTTATTCTTAGGTAAAGACCCTTGTGATATTTCAAGAACTCACGTCTATACATCCACTTGTCCAAATACATGCCATTTTCTTTCATTAAACCAATAACCTCCATCACCCTATGAAAATAACCGCCTCGAAGAAAATTCAACAGCAAGAACTCGTATAAATCCCTGGTATTCAAGTTCTTACGACTTTCCATGTTCCTTTTAATATCTCCCCACAAGATTGTAATTTCACGATACATCCCTAAAGAAGAATACCCATTAAGCAGATTCATGAAAGTTGACACCGTCGGATGGATCTTCATTGCCTGCATTTTTCGGTAAGCCCTTACGGCATCTTCAACCATGTGAGCCTTCATAAAAAAGTAGATTGAAAAATTTAAATCATGCATCATAAAAGAAGCTTCATTTTCTTCAGCTCTCATTTCTTCAACAATATGGTAAGCCAGCTCCCCTTTCGCCGAAGTGTCTAATTCTTTCAGCTTATTCTTGCTTTCCAGTTCACACATAGATGCAGGAGCTAACAATGGATCAGATGCTAATATGACACCTGATCTTTTTAATTGCTTTAGTAGTGCCTCTGCCTCCCTTAGCTTATTTCTGTTGCAATATGCAGTCAACAGAGACATGTATGAACTAGCGTCCAGCGGATTTCCTTCAGAATCCAAATCATCCAAAATATCATGAGCAATTTCAAGCCAACCCATGCAAATGCAGGCAGAAACCACATCAGAGCACATTCTGCTAGATTCAACTGAGCCCTTCTTCTGGATACTACAGAGAAGCTTTGACAGATCATTAATTCTCCCACACCTCTTGTACTGTATAATAAGTTTGGCCAATGCTCTGTTGCTAAGGGCTAGTTTCCCATTCTTATACATAACAAGCACCTGATTACGTCCCACATTGAAAACAGAATCCCTTGACAATGAATGGGGAAAAATTCGTAATTTCAATCCCGTTCTCAGATTATCAGAGCCAATTGAAACAAGGCACGGTTTAGGTGGTTGTGTTTCATTTCCCTGCTGATGATGCGACACTTGAAATCCATAAATATCTTGTACAAGATTAGAAGCAGCATCAATATCGTTAAACTTGAAATGTAAACACAAGAGACTTTCATAGAATTGCTGATAGCAGGAAAATAATGGAACTGAAACCTGATCTATATGCTTCTTAAATTTCTTTAATTCATCCCGCATACCATTCATCTCATGGATCAAGGAAATAATTGAAATAGTATGAGCATCAGCTGTCACTCCAACTTGGGCCATTAACTCAATAATCTGATGGCCTTTACTGGATGATCCAAATCTTGCACAAGCATCAAGAACAAGATTAAAAAGAAGTGTATTATGTTTATTTAACTCAGTGGATTTCTTTGTAGTTAATTGATGAGAGCTACCATATATCTCAATCAAAATGTTTGATGACACAATCATTCCAGTATCAGACTTCACCATGTGAAATATTATCATCCCTAGCATGTCAATAGGTGGGAGATTTCCTTTCTCCAACATCAGTCTGAGAATTGATGATGCTTGAATGGGCATTTGAGTTCTAGCCAACGATAGGCAGAGCTTGGTCATTAACTCTGTGCGTAGCATCTCCCTTTTCTCTTTCAAAATAGATCCGACTATATTGCATGCCTTTTTAAGCCATCTAGAATCAGATGAGTACGACAACTTAGTGAGAAGCTTATCTACAAGAAAGGGGTCAGGGAAACCGTAAAGACGTTTGAAATCCTTGTAGGTTTCCCAAGCCTCTTCCAAGTTGTGATTCCTCAATGCACTTTCAAGCTTTCCCAGCAAAACAACGTCAGATGATACTCCCCAAGATAATGTCTCTGACTCTCTCCTGGAACTGAACTGTCGAGAAAACATCACACCCCCTGGTTTATAGTTTTCATATGAAATTGAGGACTCCATTCCCAAATATAGCGGAACATATGTGCTATTGTAGGTCAATCTGATGGCATTTGAAGCGACAGCAAGAATGGAAGAGTAGCTTTTTCGGAAGACAGAGCAAACTGTGATAGCTTTTCGTAAGGAGCGTGCCATAAAGATAACACTACCCAGAAAACAACGAGTAATAAAGTATTATGACATTGTATCCTGGAAATAATAGAACATTATACTAGAATCTGCACAAACAAACCCAGAAATACCAAAGAATGAGGAAGGAAAATAGTGTAATAGCCTCAAAACAAAATTTGCCACTAAAATATATGACAAATCAGAAACCATTGCAGTTACATGATCCAATCAAAAGATACACAGACAAATTGTTCTCAAAGTAGCATTGCTTGCAGCTGATGTAAAATTTTTAACAAGCTGATTCTGTCGACCTTACAAATTTGGAAGCATGTCTGACGAAAAAAGAAACATTATTACATACTAAGGCACTAACAACTTTATTTGTAAGTACTGCAACCGTTTCATGATGTAACTCAAGATCTTGACAGACAAAGATTGTTTATTAAACTACCAGTCAACCAAAAAAGATCATGTTCCCTTACATAGTAGTTTTTAACTCAAATGGATGTATTGATGGAGACATGGACTAAATTGGATATTAGAAATAGGAAAAAGACATAGATTCCGCCCTAAACTTTTCCCAAAAAGTCGACCTCACGCTCACACTAGAATGACGACCTGTTACACACCTATTCTTACTAAAGTGATATTAATACCTGAACAAACAAATTAGGATCCTGAGTTATACGAACTTTATTAAATTTTTGAAATATTTAATATTAACTGATTTGAGATGGTTGAAAATTGAAGCTACTGAAGTGGGAGAGTCCAAGGTAATATAAGCCCCACATCAGCTCCCAATTAAGTCGGTGTCGCATTCAAGTCTCATTCCCTGGAATAATATCATAACAACTTATGTTCTTCATACTCTTCAGAAATGTTGGTAAGTGCGTATCGGATCCTCCAAAAGTAGAGCATTTTTGGAACATATGATTCTTTTGCGAGCCTGAGTAACATAGCTTAAAACTATATAACAAGCACTAAAAATGCTTTTTTTGGACGATTTTACAAGTGCTGACAATGCTATAAGAGGAGTTTTTCATAAAATTGACTAATATGAGAAGCGAATAATCATGAAAAAACACAAAGTTAACAATTACAGAATGCATTGCAGCAAATTATAGGATTAGTGTAATACAGAAAAGAGAGTACAACGAAGAAACTTACAACTCAAGTACGAGCGGAGGTTGGCCGGAGGAACAACGGCTGTTCGGAAATTGATCTCCGGTAGTGTTTTATCTATTTTGCCGGACGGACCAGAAGCACAAATTGCCATTTCCGGCCAAAAGTTTAGCCGTTTCCACGTTCTTCTAATCTTCAAACCAAATGTTTTTGGGCCTTACAAAATGGGCTGCATTATTACTCCTTCAAACAATACTTGTACAATAGAATATATATACAAATAACTTTAGTTCGTATATATTACCTTAATATACAACCCACTATGTACATAATTTTTTTTGTAATTTATATATAAATTACATTACCTGATGTTCTTCAGATTTGTCCAATTCTGATGACGCATATTCAATCTCCTCTGAATCAATGTTTACAAATAAAAAACAAAGCTACTGAATTCGAAGAAGTATGAGTTTAGTGGAAAAACAAAACCAAGGATAGTACTAGTACAAATTTCATTGAGTTTGTGACATGTCCAAACAATCCAGATGGATTCTTAAACAAGGTAATCCTTCAAGGGAAGTTTGCAAGACATGTATACGATTTAGTTTACTATTGGCCACATTACACCGCCAGTCCAAGTCTATGGATAAAGGTTTCATGTTATTTACACTTTCAAAGCGGTCATGCCGGTGGTAACTTATCCAAATTAGAAATTCAAAATAAGAGTATAAGAGTAATTTTAGGAAAAAGATATGAAAAAGGGATTGCAGAGAAAAAATTAATTTTATATAAAATTATATAAAAGCATAAAAAAGTATTTTATAGTTGGGTTTATAAAAAATGAGTCCCATTAATTATAGCAAAAAAATGAAACTATAATTATTGAGAGTAAATAAATTGCATTATATCCTTATTAACTAATTACTTAGGGATGTTTAGTAAACACAAAATTTATATTTGTATACTATAGCAATGCGTGCATAATTGTGCTCCATAACACATGTATATATATATATGTATAACTCGCTATACATATACAATTGAAGCGAATTGTATAAAATGAATTGTATAAAACGAGAAAAAAAGAAATTATATACAGTGAACTGTATAAAATAAGAAAGAGAGGAAGGAAAAAGAGACTTGGGTAGGAAAATATGTGTATTGTATAATCATAAGTGTATAGGACGACTATGTACCGTTTGAATTTGTATAAAATGAGAAAGAGAGAAAGGCAAAAGAGACTTGGGCAGGGAATATACAATTGAATCGAATTGTATAAAGCGAGAAAGAGAGAAATTATATACAATTTGAATTTGTATAAAACGAGAAAGAGAGAACGACAAAAGAAACTGGGCAGGGGATTATTTTTATTATATAATTATAAGTGTATAAGACGAAAATATATGTATTTGCATGTGTATATACAATCTTCTCTCGCTTTATACAAACAAAAACACAATTTATGTTTCAAATCTGTTTGTATAAGCGAGAGAGGAGAGCGAGATCTGGGAGAAGGGAGAGCGAGGAGCGAAAATATAGATATTTATACAATTTCCTCCCGCTTTATACAAACACAAACGCATTTTATACATTTGTGTTTATATAAAAAGCGAGAAAGGCGAGCGAGACTGTCACCAAACGAGAGTGATGAGCGAGATTCCACTAAGGAGAGTGAGTGACGAAAATAGCTAAAGTTTGCTATAGGGTATAACTAAATTAAAGTATATTTATAGCATTAAATTTGAATTAATAGTTTGCTATTATATACAATTTTCCTTTAAAATAATTAAATAATCACTTATCACTTAATAATTTCCGGCCAATTTCCTTCTTTTCTCTTGCTCGCGTCTCTCCCCTCTTTTACTCGGTACTCAGTACTAATTGCACTAAAGGCAATTGCTGAATGTATCAAAGCATATTTGATATCCGAAACAGTTAACTGGCGAAAAAATGTAAATTCGTTGTTTCAGCGAGTAATTAGCACCAATAATGATACGATTTATGCACAAACCCAGTTGCAGATATAAAGTGAAGTGCAACAGAAAATACTCATTAGTATTAGAATAAATCATATCACGATGTACAAATTAATGTTACAACAAGATAAAATTAGAAAAAAAAAAAGAAAACACTCATTCATTTCATCTCCCCTAATACACTTCCTATCTTGGCATTCCATTCCAGCTCATGCATCCAACTTTTTACGCCGCTCTTCATATGATGCTGGAAAATAAGCAAAAGACATAAGGTCACCTCTTAAAAGTAGATACCTAAAATTTGCGGAGTTCCTATTACTCCACGAAACCATTTGCAATCACAATAAATACACCTTTTGACCCATTTTCAGAGCATGTATATGTATAATCTCACATTTGATAGTTGGGATATGAAACTCGCATAGAACTGATAGTTGAGGTGTTTTTGACCATTAACTCTTTTTCAAGAACATGTTAATATTGATGTTTATAGCACAGTCGAAAGTCCCAAATTCAAGCAAGTTTTATCAAATGAATGATAAGAGATAAAAGATCCAGAAGAACTCACGCTCAGTTGGTCGAGACAATAGAGGAATGTGGGAAGCTCGTTTCTTCTTAGTATGGTCACTTGATATATTGTTGTCTGAAATTGAAAATTCAATCTGGATTAATTTACTCACTAAGAAAAAACAAGTTCTATAGCTTAGAAATATGCTGTAGGTGGAAAACGTCAAAAAAATTCAAGTACAAGTACTGAATGACCTACCAATTTCAATACATGATGAGTTTAGCAAAGCTTCATGATAAATTGCGGATTGAAGTTTATAACTTCGGCATTCCCGCTCCAAATGTTCATTCAAAGCCTGCTTTGTATCTGGGAAAATTGTCCACAAAAGTGTTTGTACGTTACCCAATTAGTGCAATAAAAGTTGTCTAACAAAAAGAACACACATATCTAAAAACACAACCAAGAACAAATATCAAATATTTACGTCTATTTTCCCCCAAAAAACAGTCACAAAGAAAGGAGATGAGGGACTTGAGTAAAATGGAATCTTAATCACAAAAGCATTCTTTTTTAACATTATATATAATCACAAAAAGTAATTTTTTGAAGAGAGGCCACTATGTTGTTACACCCACTAAAAGAAAAGAAAAGAATGTATATATATTGGGTGAACGGAACAAGTCCAGAAAAGAATGAATTATTGATGAATACCATTCAAAGAAATTGTTTATTATTTGGTACTACTACTTCAATATAACAGACTCGTAATCAAGTTCCTTTATTAAACAAAGGAAAACAAAAGAAAGCTCACAATCAAATTGACAATATCATCAGTCTACAGTGAATACAAATCAACAAATGCAATAGTGCCAAAGCTCCTCAATGAGATTAGAGTGCTGCTAATAGCAATTCATTGAGTTTATACTGGGTTAGGTTAAGGAAAAATGGGTAAATTGATAACCCATACAGATATGCTGACAAGATCCAGGAAAAGAGAATGAACCATAAGAAACAATAAAATTAGAACATGATTACCCTTACCTAACATCACGTAAAATAAAAACAGAGAAAATTTTGTTTTCACAGATCCTAAAAAAATGGAACTGATATAGACTAAAGAATTCTGGATATAAATACCATTAAAGTACCTGATGAACAAATAAATTTGAGGCCTTCGAATTCACAGGATTGAAGAACTAGAGGTATTTCTGGAGCCATTGGGAACTGAGGTTTCCGTGGTGTTCTTTCTATATCCAGTAGCAAATCAATTACCTACGATTTCATAATTGAAATATGCCTTATGGTAAGATACATGAATTAGAATAAATCACCATAAGATCCATTCAACACAAAGGCTTTACATAGACAACCCCGAAAGCTATGTCCAATTAGGAAGTTGAGGAAAATTATAGAAACACGAGCAGTGTTTAGAAAATGGGTTGTGTGCATTTGTACATATATCATAGAATCACGATTAAGCAAATTATCGACTTGTTTATTCATTAATTTTAAGATTGAGTCATCAAAGAGACTTTTCACAGAGCAGAAAGCCCAACCTGCCCAAACCTTAATGGCATCAATTGACTGAGAACAAACTAAAAAGGTCTATCAGATTAAAGAAGCATACAAGAACTACCCCGATTCTACTCACACGGTGGTGAGGACACAAAAAGCATTATATAACAAGGTTGAGTAGACTTGGTTGACCAGTGATCTGGTATTATATATAATCATGTCAAACTCCACAAGCTGCTCATCACAAGATTGACAAAACTTCAGTTATTGTTCTAAAAGAAGCAAAAGGAAAAATCTTAAGTTCTCCAGAAAATGGATCACATCAAATGAAATGTTTCAGCAACAGGTTTCAGAGAAAATATTGTTAGGACATGAATTTCATACATTAGGGGACTCAAGACCCTGGCCAATCAGAAATAATACGGCAACCATGCACCGGACTTGATGCCAAAGGAAAGCACTGCCTTTGATTTTCATTATCATGAGTTGATCATCATTGTCTCTACAATTAAAATATACATGGAGGAGTGAAAAGCATTTCAATATGTATATCAGTATATGGATAGTATTAAAAAAGCAAATAGCCGGTTTCAGTAAGAAATTATAGATGATGAGCAGAAGAGTACATCATGTAGAAGCAGCTCTAAATTGCTAATAAAAAATTAGATAGAGTTCTTGTCCTAATTAGTACTGACCATATCAACAAACTTAAAACTACACAAACATGAAAATAACTAGACAAATGATACAAAATTAAGGAAAAATACCCAAAAACTCAAAGGCACATGCAAAAAGAAGATAAAAGGACACAGATTTCAGCTAGTTTTAAGATCCCTAGATATTCATAAAATGTTACCAACATTATCCAAAAGAAGGAAAATAAAAAATAAAATAATCACCAACCAACTATCCAATTGCATATTTACAAGTATTTGCAAATACTTCTGCATAATGTATGTCAGGTGACAACTCCATCAGGGGAAAGCAGTATCTAGGATTTCTCAAACTTCACATCGCACACCATCTCAAATATAGCTTAATACTCCTTAATATCAACTTTCATGGGAACAGATATAGTATTTCCTAACATCGGTTATCTACCTAAAGTAGCAACTTTCTTTGACTTTTTGAAACAAGAGTACCACGATTCAAAGAAAACAATTACATAATCACGACCAAATCAGGAGAGGAAATAGTCAAAGCGTCATAAAACTTCAAAAAGATCACACGGGTCAATTTATAACCCTCTCTCTACAAGTAGAGAATAAGTAGAAAAAGGGACACAAAGTAGAAAAAGCAGAGTGTCAAGCTAATAGTAGAAAACCTTTCATTGAAGGGGACAATTTCAAACGATATTATGTGCCGCCGGTAGTTGTGCACATTGTCTGCATCCATTTTGCAAAAATTTCTGAAATCATGTTCCCCTAAGAATTTCTTCGCAGCAGTTTGCATGGCCTGTTGAGAATTCAAGAGTGTTTAGCTGAAAATTGGAGTAAATCAGCATAACCAGGTCAACTGATTTCAGAAGGAAAAGTACACACTGTTAAATTCAAGTTTCCCTGCCAAAAGAAGTACTTGTACACCCTGCTCAAACAACTGAACCTGCATTATTGAAAGGCAAAAAGG